AATCTTGCTTTCTTTAATTTGGTCTCCTCTCTGGGGTCAGAATGGTCTTTCTAATAAGCAAATCTGTATTCCTTTCTTCCTCCAGAACTTTGAGTGGTGTCCCATGGCCCAACTGGTGGGATCCAAACTATTGCATAGTGTGCAACGTTGGTTCTTTATGATCTCACCTTGTCTATCCATTCCTATCACCTTCTACTTCTTCTTTCCTAATTTGTGCTCTACTTCACCTTTTCTCCATTTATGCTTTCCCAAATTACAAACTGTGTATAACTTTGCAAACATGTCACAGATTCTCATACCACTATGTTTTGCAAGAATGATTCCCTCTGCCTGGAATACCCTGCCTTTCCTTTTGATCTGCTAAATTCTTACTACATGTCTCCCCTCAAAGGTACTTCTCTTAACCCTCACAGATTCCAGAGGCAGATGTAGACACATTAGTCCACTGTACTATGCAGAGTCCTCCATCATGGTAGTTATCATTATACATTTCTGTCTTTCCCACTAGATTATAAGGAGGAACCATGTATTGTCAACTCTACTACACTCTTGGCTCAGCCCTTGTTCAGATATTTCAGCATCACAATTTCACAGAAACCTTACTAGTAGGTAGAGGAGAACTGTCATCCCATTTTACAAGTGGAGAGCTGGAGACATACAGGTATCAAATGGTTTTCCTAAGTGGCACACCTAGGATTCAGATAAAAGATTTTCAGATGTAAGATGATTTTTTCTGTGTTGAAATGTTAAGTTATAGTTCAAATCTCACCAAGTTGTGTTCTACAGATGATATAGATTTTAAAAAGGATATCTTTCTGAAGGTTCTCTTGACCTCTTGACTAATGCTAGGACAATATTCTCTTCACTTGTTGGTAATTGATGTATAGTAGGCATTAAGATGTATTTATCAAAGATGTATGGATGTATGGTAATTATCAAGGTAACTCTGATATTGACCTGCAAATAAAAACCGAACAGTTAGTGACTCCTTTCTTCTATTTTGGGTTTGGAGGAATGTTTATTTATTATGGAGTTCAATTTTGCAAACATTCAGGAAGATGGGTTGATAGGTTATAATATTATATAAATAAGATAAGATAACTCAAGTTAAACAGACGTAGCATAAAAGGAATTAATATTAATAGACCTTTGAGATAAACTAATTAGAGTTACATTTTATGAGAAGGTCTGGTAGCCAAGATGAAAAGGGACTGCACACTAAGGTATACATTTTTTTCTTAAAAAGAGGGGTGCCTGGGTGGCTCAGTCAGTTGAGAGTCCAGCTCTTGATTTCAGCTCAGGTCATGATATGGCTGTCCTAGGATCAAGCCCTGTGTCAGGCTCCACTCTCAGCAGGGAGTCTGCTTGGGATTCTCTCTCTCCCTCTCCCTCTGCCCCTCACCCCACTCTCACAAGCTTGCATGCGTGTATGCCCTCTCTCTCTCTCCCCCTCTCTAAAATAAATAAATAAATAAATAAATAAATAAATAAATAAATAAATCTTTAAAAAGAAGAGGGCATATATATTAATTTGTCCAGGTAAGTTTCCTAGGACTATAAAGTGGAAGCAATTGAATGTGACTAGATATTATCTATTCAGTTCTAAGAAGTTGTCCTCAGAGGAAGCTCTCACAGATAAATCCAGACATCCTCACCATATTTGAACCCATGGGAAACCAATGTCAAACCATCATTTTCTATTTTTTTAATATTTTATTTATTCATTTGAGACAAAGAGAGAGAGAGCATGAGCAGAGGGAGAGGCAGAGGGAGAGGAGAAGAAGACTCCCCGCTGAGCCAGGAGCCAATGCGGGACTCGATCCCAGGACCCTGGGATTATGACCTGAGCCGGAGGAAGATGCTTAACCATCTGAGCCACCCAGGCACCCGATCAAACCATCACTTTCAGATGTACCAGAATTATAGCCAACTGCTCCAGGTTTTCTGAGACCTGAAGTTTATTCAGTTTTAGAGACTACCTCTAAGAAAAATAATTAAAAATTATGAACATAAAATTGAGTACAAAAATATATATTTATTTACAATAAAAAAGAAATCACAACAAATTGCAGATTTGCTGATATATATTACAAATGTTTCTTTTAGTTTGATTTTAGCTTCCACAAAGCTATTTTCTTTATTATGTTAAAGAACAAAATTAAAGATTCTTGGACCAAATGGAGAGTTAAGCACGGAATCTAATCCAATGCAAAAGCTCAGCTCTAGGGTGAAGGCTTGGGGGAGAGATACAGCACCTATCCCATGTCAGGAAATCAAAGTATCTGTGCTATTTGCTGTGCTATTTGGGCTGATCAGGTTAGTTAGGCCCTGCATAAGTATTGAGCTGCCCGTTTTGGGATTTTCTAGAAAGTGATTTGTTATTGTGTACAAGAAGTACTCATTTCCCTACTACAGTGTTTTGTTGTGGTTGTTGTGTAAGTGAGTTGCCCATTTCAGGACCATGGTACCTTGAGTAGTTGCTTTAGTAACAATTAGTTCTGTACTACTGTCAGCAGGCTGGGTGGTCAGGTCAGGATTTATTGTCCCTCCTTTTCATCATTCTGCTCCTCCAGAGAAGGGCTGACCATAAAGTGTTCTATCTCTTTTTGGCACAGAATCATCGGTTCAATGTCCTTTCTAGATAACAGCTGCGTGATAGCATGAAAGCACCCTGCTAATTCCTTAAAGCAAAAATAATTATTACGGAAAAAATAAAATCCCATTATTAGAGTTTAGAAAATTTCATGTAAATCAGGTTCAAATATGACTTAGCCAAAGCTAAATAAATAAAAACTCAGACTTAATTTGTTCATTCTTTGAAACCCAATCAGCTTTTTAAAGAGATTTCCTCCCCCTTTTTGCCGTGAAGCATTAACCAGAAACAGCAGAATGTATTAGCCAGAGAACAGATAGCCCTTGTGAGGCCAGTAAATGCTTTAAAGTTTAGTGATCTCCATTACCATGGTAGCAAATGACTCTTTGGCTATGCCCATATGGCATTTACAATCTCCTTTGTAATTTCAGCCATGGTATTGTGCAGTCTCTGTTACTTCTAGGCAACTTTCATCATTTCTCTGTCATTTATTCTACTGCTTACAAAGTCACCCTACTTTTTGCTTCTCATATCACAATTTAACATTGTGTAAATCTTAATCCTTCCGGAAAAAGGGAAATATTACATAACTGTTTAGCTAACTCAGGAGGTATGTCCAGGACTGCCCTTACAAATACTCCTTTAATGAATTCTGATTCAGTGTTGTTTATAAATGGCTTTTTCTTGAAAATGGCAGATATTTCCTCTGCAGGACAAGTATTCATCATGAAATGTGCAGCCATCATATCAACTCCATTGCCTAATGCTCTATTTTCCCAGCTGGCAAAACTAATAATTTTGAGTTGAGCCTGCATACTGGCAAAAGGAAAATGGTAAACACTTACCATATAGTAGACACATGATTTATGATTTTGGGGTACTATGGAAGCAAAGGGAATTTGAGACATTCAGGTAATCTGATAAAAAAAATGACAAAGGAATCAATGTCATATTAGAAGTTATTAAGTTCTGAAGAAGTATCAGTTATGGAAGTTTAAGCCCATATTTCTGAGATCACCACAGAAGCGATGCTCTTGTACTGCACCGCATAGCAATTCTCTGCTGATTTATCTGCTAAACAAGTAGCTCTTGTTATCCTATCCATCTGGGTGCCACTAATTTGATGTTTATCCTCATCAGGCTTTCTGAAGGACAATGGGCTATATTTAGACAAGCTATAATTGCCAAATGGTAATTTTATAACTGTTATTTTCTCTCCATTTACTAGTTGTAATATAAGGAAACATGTTTCCTTCTCCCGTTAATTTACCTATTCATTTGTTTTTTATGGAAGTATAGATTCATAGATTTCTTTTTATCCTATGCATATTCTGTTACTACCATTATTTGAATACTCAATTTACTTCATACTTAGTGAGTGGAAACCCTTCAAACTGGCACCTATGTCCTTTTTGGCTTACCTCCATCATTTTTCTTTTAAGTACAGTTTTACTTTCTGAAACTACAAGATGTTCCAGGTTCACTTTTTACTTTTCCTGCCTCAACACAAAGAGTCAGCTGTATCTCCAATGAGGCCAGTTCCTTTTAATGGGAGATGGTATATTAAAAACCAAGATCAGCATTTAGAATGTGTTCATTACTGCTGGTGTCTTTCCTTCTGGGTTCTCAACAGGCAGGGCTAAAAAATATAAATATAGCTATATCCACCTTTCTTTATCTATCTATCTATCTATCATCTATCATCATCATCTATCTATCATCTATCTATCTATCTATCTATATCAATCATCTATCTATCATCTATCATCTATCATCCATTCGTCCATCCATTTAAACTCATGAATTTATACTAACTACTCTCATTGCAATTCAGCACCACGGAATTCATTCTAACCTTCTTCTTTCCATATTTGTAACTCCCTTCTCCAGCAGTAAGAAATCTAGCTTATTTAATCCTCTAAATATTTAATCATTTGCTTAGTCCTACAATACATGAAAGGTAGTTTCAGAATTGTAAACTCATACTACCATCAAAAATAGACCATCTAACTAGAGTTCTATTATTTGTTTATAGTTTTTTTTTTTTTTTTTGGCTTCAGACTCAGGGTATATAGTCAAAGTATTGTGTTCCAAAGTTATTCAGGTTAGTTCTGTTTTTCCCCTTCAATGTAGTTATGCTTTTTTTTTTTTTAATTTGGGATATAGTTACATTATAATGTTTCTGTTACTTGAGATTTTATTTTCCTTCTGCTTTAAATTTTATTTTTTTGAGTACATAAAACAACATGATTCAGTCAATGTCAAAACTACATATAAATATATATTCAGAAAAGAGTCATCACCCTCTCCACAATCCCTTCCACTCTGTTCCCACTTAGCCCCTGTATGTAATTAATCCATTAGTTCCCGGTTCATCCTTCTTGAATTCCTTTTTGAAAAAAATAAGAAAAATATGTAACATTTTAAGAATTTCTAAGTCATCCTTGCATGAAGGTTACAGTAATCTTTTTTGTATCATTTCAGTTTTAGTATATATGCTGACAAAGCAAGCACTGCTGGCTTTATTTTTATTGCCTTGTGATAGCAGTGAATATAATAAAGTGATAATTAGATTTTTGGAGGTTTGGCATTGTTGGATCCCCAGATTGGCCTACTGGGCTTTATTCTTTTTTTTTTTTTTAATGTTTTTTATTTATTTATTCATGAGAGTCAGAGAGACAGAGAGAGAGAGAGGCAGAGGCAGAAGGAGAAGCAGGCTCCCGGCCTAGCAGGGAGCCTGATGCGGGACTTGATCCCGGGACCCTGGGATCATGACCTGAGCCGAAGACAGACGTTTAACTATCTGAGCCACCCAGGCGCCCGATTCTTAAATTTTCCAATGTCTTACCTGTTTACACTATCGGCATTAATTGTGGTCTTATATTTTAGGATGGCTTAAACGGAGAGACTTCCCCTCAACAGTGCTTTCCTTTCTTAGCCTTGGAAGAGTTTGCTATTATGAATAGGCTATTCAGTTTGAACTGACATAAGATACGACTTTTTCCTTCATATCTCTTTAATTTTTTTTCTGATAATGTTCTGCTGCCTGTTTTACTTCCTTTAAATTGACTTCTTATCATTTACTTGGGTTCTGCTTTGTAACTCACCATTTTTGTTTTTAACAAGCAGGGCTTAAGGAACTGGCTTTCCTTTAATCAGCTGCTATATTTATGCTGGAATATTTTTAAAAGGTTCTGAAAATCTACTGATTCTCAATACTTTTTAATTTAATTTCGGAATCTGTTTCAAATTAGTTTGATAGGGAAGACTTGGAAAGACTTCTAAAATATCTGAAGTAAGTGTTCTTCTATATCTTTAAACTTTCTTTTATCCTGATATCATATATCGTGTTTATTGGAGTCTCAGCCAGCCCTTTTTGAACCATTTTTGACGTCTTAATGGAGAAGCTAGAAACCTAAGTTGATGAAGGTATGGTAGCCTGGATTATAGGTGCTTATTATTGAAAGCTCCCAGAAGAAAGGTCCAGAGTTAGGGCCTCCAGGTGGAGGATTTCCTAGCTTACACCTATGAGGGGCAGAACAAAGTCAGTCTATGTCAAGTTTTAGCATCTGCTGGCTATAGACAAAGACCTTATAAAGTTTCTTTCTTTAATTCTGGGTGTGGATGTGTGTATATTGTGTGTTTTGAATAGAATGACATGTCATAGAAAGGCAGTGTTGTTATAGTGTAGTTTTTGACTATGACCCCCATCAACAATATATTTTTGCTTGTATTTCCTCAATGAATATATATTTATGTATAATTTATATACTTGTTCTACTACACTCATATACTTTATGTCATAAAGCAAAAATAAGAATTAAAATTATAAATATCATATATAACAAAATTTATACTATAAATTTGTATTTGTAATACATATAAATAGGACTTTTAATAATTTCTTTTCATGCTAGTAGATGATCTTGTATACTTCCTGGGTGCATAGACCCCACTCTGGAAGCCATGGCTGTGATGAATGTAGAAGAGCTGGGCTCCAATTTTGGATTTATAGCTATTGACATGGTAATCCAAGGACATTTACCTATTATCTATACACTTGACTCTCCTCCTTTGTAATGAGAATCAAATGAAATGATGTATGTAAACTTTCTAGTATATCACTTGATATAAAATATTTTCAACAAATTTTAATAGAATCTGAACGGTATTTCATGTTTTTCTTCTCAAGAGCTATGATCAGGGAATACATTTAGATATAAATGTTAATGAAGAATGAAGGAATTTTATTATGATCATTTATATTATTTGATGAGGGGAGCAAAAGCTTGCCCAATGGAAAAAGTTGTCTAAAAATTTCAGTATTCTTCCTTTTTACCTGATCACATTTATGATTTCTCAGCAATAAGTCAAATTCACTTCCTGTATTTGTAAATAAAAAAAAATATTTATTGAATGCTTGGCATTATTCACACTCTGCAAGGAGACAGAATGGTTGAAAAGATGGGCATGGGGATGCCTGGGTGGCTCGGTCAGTTAAGCATCTGCCTTTGGCTCAGGTCATGCTCCCAGGGTCCTGGGATCGAGTCCCACATCGGGCTCCTTGCTCAGTGGAGAGCCTCCTTCTCCCTCTGCCTGCCACTCCCCCTGCTTGTGCTCTCTCTCTCTCTGACAAATAAATAAATAAAATCTTAAAAAAAAAAAAAAGATGGGCATGTAGATTGTTATTTACTTGAGATTTTGTGTGCTTTCTTTTTATTTGTTTGATTTTCTTCAACTGAGTTTAATATTTAATTTATACAAACCATGAATTTGACATGGTTTGCGGAGAAAGTAAGGACTTTGAAGTTAAATATACAGGTTCATATTCCATCTCTGTGATTTGCTAACCATGCAATCTCAAGCAATACTCCTCAACTTTATCTCCCATATCTGTAAAATGAAGATCATTATTTTCATTGTTGGATTGTTGTGGGAATTAAATGATAATGTTTGTGAAGAACTCGCACAGTTGAAGGCAAGTAAAGTTATATTCAACAAATATTAGTTATGTTTAGAAAACATTTTGAAAGATCCATGTTAACCATAAAAATAAATTTCTACATACCATTTTTAGAAGAGATGACATTTAATTTATTAAGTAAACCGTTACGTATTAAGTTTCTGCTTGGTGTCAGAAACCAATGTGAGGAGACCAACAGAGAATGGAACATTATTATTGGAATGCCAAGGTGTTGATTACAGCAAAAAGCAGGAAGGCCATAAGGGGCCTGGACCAGGTGATGCCAAATTATCAGCATTACCAAATTATCTGATTCTGGCTTCTACTTCACTCAATCCTTTGCCTTATTGTTTTCTCTCTTCAGAGTGACTTTTTTTCCCCTGTACAATCATGATGTGCTGAAATTGCTGCCACACAGTCTCATGTTTATATATTACACATCCAGCCAGACAAAGGACTAATTATCCTTCTATCTTAATTATAACTTCATTAGGGAGAAAGTTGGTTTGAGTCTTCTTGGGTTCCTTCTCTACCACTCAATTAGTCATCTGTGGACATATGGAGAGAGTCATACAGCAGAAATGACTCTGCTAGGTCTTTACCTCTCTGGAATGATTATGGTGAGGTTGGATATGGCAAAGAGAGCAATTCTAAGAGTGGTTCTGTGGGTGTGGTCTTGAGACCCCTGGTGTCCCTTTTAAGTAGTTTGTCAGGTCAAAACTATATTCATGATACTACTAATATGCTGTTTTTCTTTTCCATTTTTTTTTCTTTTATGGGTATATACATGAATTTTCCTGAGGCTATATGACGTGTAACAGATTGAATGCAGAAGCAGATAAGAGATTTCAGCTATCTTATATTAAGCCAATATTAAAGAAATTTTGCAAAAATGTAAAAAATGATACCGTTCTCAGTAAATTTTTTTTTTGGAATATAAGTTGCTGTTTATTTTTTTTTAATTTTATTCATGTTAGCACATGATGACTATTATTATTTCATTTTATTTTTTTATTGAGATATAATTGACATATAACATTATCTTAGTTACAAGTGTTCATTCTAATGGAATGTGGATTGCTTTGGGTAGTTGAACATTTTAACAATATTAATTCTTCCAATCCATGAGTATGGAATATCTTTCCATTTATTTATGTCTTTCTCAATTTTTTTCATTAATTATCAATTAATGTATAGGTCTTTATTAATGTATAGGTCTTTCACATCCTTGGTTAGATTTACTCCTAAGTATTTTACTCTTTTTGTTGCAGTTGTAAATGGGATATATATATATTTTAAATTTCTCATTCTGATAGTTTGTTAGTAGTATACAGAAATGCAACTGATTTTTGCATTATTGATTTTGTGTCCTGCAACTTTACTAAATTAGTTTTTTGTTCTGACAACATTTTGATGGAGTCTTTAGGACTTTTTATATATAATATCATGTCATCTGCAAATAGTGGCAGTTTTACTTCTTCCGTTCTGGTTTGGATGTCTCTTATTTCTTTTTATTGTTTAATTCTCTGTCGCCATATTTGTATATGTTTATAACTCATACTTAATTTACCAGCTTTAAATTGTATATTTGATCCTAGGCACAAATGACATGTCATATTTTTAATTTTATTTCCCTTTCATCTTGGTGTCTTTTTCTTAAACTTGTACTCTATTTCCTTTATTGTTATTTAAGCATATCTATGATTATAGCCATGTTTATTATTACCACATTTGGTTATAATCTTTATTTGCCCCAGGGAAACATTTTTCTCATAAGTAACTTTTTTTGTGTTTTTTTCCCCCTCTATTATTTTTCTCATGTACTGTCTTTGTAAATATCCTATGCTGTGTCCTTTTTGACTGCTCATCTTGGTATAAATGAAGTTCTTCCTGGGACAGCTACTTACAGGATTTTTATGTAGGGAATATGCCAAAGCTGGATTGTAGGCTAATAGGAACTTTCTCTGTTGCCTAGGGAGTTGTGTTTGGGTTATTTTGGCCTTGATGTTTTCCCAACAAAGGGGAGACAAAGCTGTGGGGCTATTAATTCTGTTTCTTTTTTCCCTTAATGCTCACCAACAGATAAATTCCTGCAAATGTGCCTTGTTTATGTGTTTCCTTTCCTAGAACTGTCTTTTTGTTCTCAAAAGCAAATTGCTTCCTTGAAAACTCATAATGCCAGTCTATTCAGCCTTTCCATTGTTGGAAATAAGGGATTTTAGGTTTTAGCTGAAAAGAAGAGCCTTTAATCTTGAATATCTTGATTTTCTGAGACCAACAGCACCATGTATTCATTGTTATAAACTCCTATATGATCCTTAATGCTATTAATAATGATTTAATCTATTTTTTGATTTGTGATTTTAGTTGCCTTTGATTTTTGTTGAATATCGATATGCATTTCTATTTCTTATTTTTCTTGTTTCTTTTAAGCAACTTGTAAGAGGTAAAGAAAGAAGTTCTAAATTTACCCTGATTTTTGAAATTGGAAGTTTCTCATACTGTCTTATAAGTGAACAAAACTTTGTTGAAGATCATGTTTTGTAGCACT